CAGGTACTAACTAAGTTAACAGTTTTTATATTCTATATTAAAATGTATTTTCAGACTTTAAATAGAGTTAATAAATCTATCCAACTTAAATGACTTGATCACTATTAATAGTTATAAACTATCTTCATGATGTTTTGTCTTTTGGTGATCTTTTATAATGCCCGTAAAAAGAACCTCCGCCGGCTGTATGGAATACTTGATTCGGTAAGAAACCAGTTTCATAATATCTAGGATTTGGCTCCAAATGATCTAAATTGAAGCCATTAGATAATGCTTCATATGCCACAAGCGGATCCTTTATAACGCCTCTCTTTAAGTATTCTATTTGAAGTCTCGATGGGACGTAGGAATCTAGTAAAGATGTTGGTCTTCTTTTAAACATGGGACCGTATGTTTCAATGGCCTTAGGAGCAATGCTACCTATTCCCAGTCGGCCACTATTATAAACAGGCTTGCTCCAGGGACGATGTATAGGCAAAGCTTTCGGGATGTGGGACAGGTGTGATGGAGGAGGTTTTAAGAGAAGTGGACTCGGATGCGGTAGCTCGGAGTTGCTATTCACTCGGAGAGGTGTCCGATGGTTGTAATAATGATGAACATCTTGAGATTGAGACTCGATATAAGGACCTTCAGTTTGAGGATGATAATAATTCTGACCTTCGACAACATTTTGCGGGTCGTCTTCTCCTTGTCCTTGAGGGTTCAGGTCATGTGAATAATATGCTTTTGTATTTAGATGCTGGGAACTAGGAGCATGTGTAGGAGGAGGTACTAGGGCAGATTGGTACTGAACTAATGGCTCCTGATAAGATGCTGCGTTCGCAGCTGCAACGGCTGGGGGCGCAGTAGGCTGCAGTGAAAATGACACATAGGTGACAGGAGGCGAGTAAGGCTGAACTTGTTCCTTCGCGCTCGGTGCCACATAAGCATGTTGTTCCCCTTCGTGAGTTGGATAATGTGCTATTTGGTTAACGTGTTGTACCGAATATTGTGGTCCGTGATGAGAGTTCTTACTGGTAGAGGGTGATCCGCTGTACTGCTGCGGGACTAAATAAATTTGCATCGGTACATTAGATAGATAGCCGACCATGGCTTGCTGCGCTCCCGGCTGTCTGTATAGAGGTGCGGGGGTGGCGGCAGATCTTTCTTGATTTTCAGTCACGGCGTACTGTTGCACGTAGCGATGTGGAGACGCCGCCGTGGGATGGGGTGTTTTGAAGTATCTTAAGAGACCTTTCTTCAGATATTCGAAGCGCCCTACATCATCGGAATCTTCGGACGAATCATTCTCGTAGTTGGCTTCTTTCTCACTTTTAAGGTTATCTTCCTCGATGTCTTGCAGTTCGATTTTCTTCTCCGCTCTAACGAGGAAAACGAGAAAGAATACTGGTGCGATCTGAAAGTAAAATTGAGCCAGTGAATTGCAATGATAGTGGATGTCCGTGGCGCGTGGCGCGTGTCTCCGCGCGACCAAACATGGCGTGCGGAGGCGCGCCACCGGCATTGCCTCGCCTCTTGTAAATGCGACAAACAGGTGAACGGCAAAAAACACTAAAGCCTATTACGAAACAGGTTGATCATGTTGAATGCCACTTTGTTACTTTTACTCTCAATCTATCCCTTTATACATACCTAGCAATCGTTTAGAATAACTTTTTCCATAATTACTCTTAATACAGAGTAATACTGATTATTATAAGCTATCTCTTACAATGACTAGCGAGAACAAAACTTTTTTAATTTTAGCGTATTCATTTATAGTAAAGCAATTCACGCGAAGCACTATCCACTGCAAACATCGTTCACATATCTAAGAAAAGAGCTAAAAATTTAAGCGTTACATTTTAACTATACATCACATTATCTTACTTCTTACTAATGTTACTAATATTACGAGTATAAATGCGAAAGTTTAGATGGATGGATGGATGGATGGATATTTGTTAGCGTTTGTAGCCTAAACGGCTAAACGGATCTCCATGAAATTTGGCACAGGTATAGAGCATAGTCTGGAAGAACACATAGGCTACTTTTTATCCCGGGAATTGTTACGGTTCCCGTGGGATTCATTAATTTAGTTTTTTAATGTTCACTCGATCAGTCTGCAACGGTTCAACATATCTTATTGAAATGTGGCACAGATATAAGACAAAGTCTGGAGTACACATGAGATAAGCTTCATCCCAGAGAAATGTCCGGTTCCCGAGGGATACGTAGCTTTTTGTAATTTATATAGTTCGTATGTTTTCTAATACCACGCGGACGAAGTCGCGGGCAACAGCTCGTATTTTATAAAAGTGTAGACAGGATAGTCAGTCATACCAGCGAAATAAATGACTTTAATTAAAATAGTTTACTCATAAAACATGACTAACACTCATGTTTGTAGAGTTAACTGTAATATTGTTTGTTTTTGTTTTAAAATACAATTGCATCTAATAATGACCACTACTAATATATACGGACTTGAAAGTGACACTCTTAGTTTCTATTTTAAAGTTTTTCTATGTGTTAGTGATTTGGTCACTTAACTGTAAAACGTTATTGATGCTAGTGTCGATTTTAAAAACGTTATCTGAATATGAATGTAGTAGTTTCTTTAGTTGTTTTGAACAATACAAGGACTAAGTGGTGAATATTATTATAAAGATTATCTCTACGCTATATAATCTTATATTGCGATCTAAAAATAACCGTAGATTATTGAACTTTAATGAAGCTTATGTCTTGAGATATCTTTAACGTGGGTTTTCAGTGTGGACACACATGAATTAAATCATCTCTACTCTGAATGCGAGAGATGACAATACATTTTAGGACATGGAAACCTACGGTTAAATTACCACAGAGTATCATACCAATTGTCTAGACTAGACACGAATAAATAATCTAATTGTCGCAATTTCGTGCCTTTAAACTTATTTTTAAGTTTTACGTTTACTTCTGTTTGGCCATTCATTTAATCCGAAATAGAATGCAAACAAAATCTAACCATCATCTGTTTTTTTTACAATCACTTTAATAAAGTGATTCTCTTTAGTAATCCTCTCTGATTTTTAGAAGTACTCTGGAAAACTTTTCAAAATACATAACCGTATGTCGTTGTAAGTGAATGTACTACATCTCAAACTTGAGTCATATTAAAAAAAAAACAATCTCGATTTTCATTTGTCAGTCTCAACAATTTTCTTTTACCTCTCTTACGATTATGTGCAGTCTTATGTATGGTTACGTTTATATCCTTTTTTATTACCTATATTGAGAGCGCGGACATGACTGTAAAAATAAAAATTGTTAATTACATTTTCTTAGCAGAATTACTTAAAAACAATACAAACGAGCACGGGTTTCATTTTTTATATTCTTTCATATCTCTTACTATGTTAATAGTTCGTCCTACATTTTCGTAGTACTAGGAAGCGATATTGACTCATATTTAATGCCTCATACAATATGCTAACGATACGAACTTATATGCCGACTGATAATCATTTTGTAATAAAAATTCAAAATTCATTCAACTTTTGTAATCTAGGCTAATGGTTCCAAATGTTTATTTTGTAACTTTTGTTCTATGGTATTTCATATTATGTTATAATAATGTTATGTAACGCATCGAATGCAGATGGTGACAAAGTGGAACCCTCAATACTAACTATGTATATTATCTTTGCAAAACATTACCCTGGTTTTTAAATGCTAGATCTACTTTTTTAAATGTTTTGTTTACACTATCAAAACATTAGATTTCTAAAAAAAAACTAATTTATTGAGATATGTTCATCCATTTAGGCGGCAAACTCCAACAAACATCCATCCATCTATGTAAACTTTGGCATTTACAAAACTAGTAAGAAATAAGATTATTGGTTAAAAAACGATGCACACAAAGACTTCAGACAATAAAAAGCTCTATGATAGGTGAAATTATGCAAATTCTCTTTTTTTGTGTGATGATTCAAATATATAATGAATATTTTAATTATGGTATCGTAACAAAATAACGCAATACGTTAAGCAAGATGTTGTTTCCTATTAAAAATCAAACCAATATTCAGACATTATAATAAGTTTGAATTTTAAAACAATTATAGACCTTAGTCACATATGTTTATTAAAAATAAGCATTTCTTGATTTTTATATTCCAAATTCTACATGACAAAAATCTTTGTCAAAGTTATAATTATTTAAAAATAGCTTTTGCTCCCAAATGCGACCGCACAGATATAAAAAAATATTGTTATCAATATTGCATATATCCGAGGATAGTGTATAGCTTCCCAACAGTTCAATATTTTTTCAAATCGGTTCAGTAGTCGAAGCCTATTCAATGCGAACAAACAATCAAATCTTATATGATATATCAATACTATATTTCGCCCATGACTCCGTCCGCTTGGAATTAATATATCAAAAGCAAGTAGCCCATGTGTTCTACCGGACTATGTTTTATACCTATGCCAAATTTCACCGAGATCCATTCAGCCGTTTAGGCTGCAAACTCTTACAAACATCTAAACATTCGCATTTATAATATTTGTGAGATTTTACAAATAACTTTTATTTTACGTATAAAACTGTTAACTAGAATAATTTAAATATAATTTCAAGATATTTTTACTAATTTGTGCGATAACTTATCATTTTATTATACGTGGAAAAAGTCTGATATAATTTTGCAACATACTTTTACAACTTGTTGCATAACATCCTTAAAAGGTATTACAGTTATATCATACAAGCAGCACAGGTTAAAAATAAGCTCACATATTTGTAACCCACATAAATATAACATGTATTAGCAATGATACAAAGCAAGCGATAATACGAGCGTCGGTATTCCCAGGAATAGGGTTAAAAAGCTTCCAAACTTATTCATACCGTACTTAAATGTTTTGATGACTAAACATTTACAAATAAATTTAAATTCTAACAGTTAAGTTTAAATTACTTCAAGTATAAATTTGGAGTTTCCACAGTAATAAAATTAACATTTTACCTTTAAAAGAATCATCTTGGTGTTTATGAAGAATGGGAAGGTCAACAATCGTCACTATTTTCTTCGACAACTTCAGCAGGCAGCTCTCCACATTCCGAGGTTGATGTATCCAATGCACTGTCCTCACATCCGATGCAACCACACCACGCATGCGCAGTCAAAGCTCTATAATTTAAAAAGAACCCATCGTTAGAACTCTTACTTCACAACTCACGGACCAACATAATTGATCGATTACACGATACATTCAACACTTAATAGAACATGACTATGTAAACGTATGAAAAATTAGTAATTTATAGGACATTTAAAATTTTTTTTTAAAAAATTTACGAACGTTTTTTTTTTTCAAAAAATTCGCTAGCACGAATGCGCTCGGCGGGCTCGCCACTAGGTAAGTGGTCGCGCGTAACGTCTGACGCGTTGTTAAATACAACACTACTCTACATATTAGAGAAGCGCAAATCCATCGTAATATCCTCTTATTAATTCACAATTAAACAAATGAGAACGCAAGTTCCCATCGAAGGCCACTAGATAAGTTACTAAATGACGGTGAGAACCAAAACGTTTCAAATAATTATTAAAATGTAACTTAATAACTTAACATCCTGCTTATTAGTCACTGATGTAATGAAATCCGTTTGATAAGTTACACACGGTACTCTTTAAATAATAATTTTAAAATACACATAGCTTATTTTAACCTTATCTATTTTTCTGTCCCACTTTTAGAGTCACACTTGAATTTTATGTCCCACTTAATTATAGTTACTGAATGATAACTTTATTGTAAAAAAAAATCTTAATAATAGTCCAGACATAACAGGCGATATAAAACGTTTGAAAGCAACTACTCAAGTGTAGAGCCATTTTATATTTATAGCTATTGTTTTTGTATTATGAACTTTTTCATAACAAAAACATTAAACAGTGTATAAAGTAAAGTTTATTTACTGTAGTTGTCCTCTGCTGAAATCCTGCTGCTATACAAGAATATAAACCTCCTTATATTTTAAAATAAAAAAAACAGACGTATCCATATTATATACAAGTACTAACAGTGGAAACCAACACTTACGTAATAATTATACATGTATGTTGGTGTCAATAATATTCAATCTGATTAATCATTTATTGACAGAAAATAATTCAAAATATTACCATATTCTTATAAAAATATACTTACTATATTATTACAGTTAATAATAAATAAGATGTGTCATTTGTATGTCATCAATACTATTACTAAAGACCGCCAAAGTATATGTCCCGGTTGTCATAAGTGGGTCTAAGTCAATATGTTCTCATTAGAGCCCTAATCTCAATAGTGAAAAGTTACACAGGATCCTTTTCGTACCGTAGCTGTATTAGTTATAACATCTTCTAGGTGTTTTATAATTTCTGACAGAAATCGCTTCAATTGTAAGAATACTTTTACCGGACCACAAAAGCTTGTCACACTATACCTTACATCTAAACGTTTAAAATTAAATGTTAACAACTTTCCATATTTCTGTATCAGCTGAAGAATTGTTTTAGCAGAATATTTATGCAAGTACTTATTACAAATTTTTAAATTGCATTTAATAATGAAATCTAACTACATACGAGTATTTAATCACATATCTTGAAGGGAATAAACCATATACAGAAGACAATTACAAAACTATTTGATAAAAAGCTACAAGTAGAACATAAAATATAACAATGCTTAAATCCAGTATTAAGTACTAATTTTTAGTAATCCAAACAAACCGACCCAGATATAATGAAATAAGATGAGAAGAGAAATATTTCGTTTGGTATTTCATTGTTGTCGCTCCTTTGTTGCGCTGAAATACTTTACATTATTAGGCGTAAAACAATATTTTGTAATAACTGTACACATGGAATGAAGTAAGCGAATTACAGAATATCATAATTTTTATTTGTGACACAAATTACGAAAGGCTCTTCGTGAATCAATCCGTAATTTCCAAATCAATTCTGAGGTGCTTCCGGAAAATCTTTCTTTAACTAATTATTTCTCTTTCGAACTAATGATTTACAATATGTTTGTTTTTGTGTTTGCAAAATTTATTTATCTGTGCAATATCCATTTTACAAATTTTAGTTGGTTATTATTTCGCAAAAGTTTATGAATAGATCTAATTTTGTGTAATAAAATAATAAAAGTAGAGTATTTAATTTAGGTTGAAACACAAGAATCTTCTCTAGCAATTATTAAAATTAACTAAGGTCATTTATTCATTATTTTGAAAAATATACTTTACCATATTAAAGTCGAATATCTATTTCATTTACATATTACGTCAGATTTTATCGAAGCCAATTCATCAACACCTTTCAAGATAGAACCATATAGAAAAAAATAATTTGTTTTAATTGACGTTTCGGGGTCGACTTTTTTAGAAGCTAGGCTGTTACCATTATTTGGTTTTAAAAGATTATATCAAATAGTTCTTTCATAGCTAAGAATAAAACTTACTCTAAAAAACAAAATTTTATTCATTGTTCTCTACCACAGCCTAAAACACTCGACTCGGTTCGACTCGAATTCATTTATTTCGTATATCAAGTATTTCGTAACAATCAAAGCGTGTAACTATTTCTGTTACATTTTGGAGTCACGTTAAAAAACGACGAATTCACCTCACGAAGTTGAATAAGAACATCTTTCTTTTGTTTTGCAGTTACGTACCGCAATTATGGCAGCGATCGTCGAAACTTTAATGATACAAGATTAAGAGAAAAACAAAACCAAAGAATGTGATAGTAGGAATATACGGTAAAAGGGGTATTGTAAAATATTGTATGTTCCTGCAAAATTCATAACTTTTCTCGTAGTGTTTTGTCTTCTACAAATATGCTGACATCACCTCATTTGTACATCCTGTATTTATACAAACTGCAGTAATCCAAGTTATAGTTTGTACATACAAAAATATGTATGAAATTACAAAGGCCCTTTTCGAATTATTGCAAAGTGAGATTGCATAGGACCTGTCCTGTGCAGATCGATTTCACTTGTTCACTTTCTATGCAATGCGAACAAACCAACCAACCATGTCCTATCCAATGTAGTTGGTATTTGCAGTTAAATAATAACATAGATTAACTTAACACACATGATCCATACCTTAACTAAATTAAGCGACATTACCTAAGCAATACTAAGAGTTGAAAAATCATTAAAATAACTATAATTTACATTTAAAATAAAGTCTCGTAACAAAGCGTTAAAATGTAATTTGGTTCAAAATAATGGATTTGTAATCGTAAGGAGTGTTGCCACGGTCCCTGAATTATTTTGACACGATTAGTATTCAATGAAAACCTTTTATAAAATTGACCGATATTATAAGCTTAGAAGGCAAAATATCCAGTGACATTGTAGCATTAAAATGAGGTAATTTAATCGTGTTTAAGAAATTAATTTCAATAACTACTTATGCAAAAAATTCACTAGTTAAAATAGTGAATTTAAATCGATAATTTGAAAATCAATTAATGGAATATAAAGCGAAATTCTTATTTGAATAGTTTACATAACTAATTAGATCTATTTCATACAAAATATAAATATTAACAATATGTAGACATCGAAATTATGCATGAGCTATTTTTAAAAGCCATTATTTCGAAGACTTTAAATACATGTGTTCATTTCTTTATTACATAAACTTGGTATGAAACAAATTATTAATATATTTCTATAACGATATTGTTAGTGACTTGGGCTATAATTAGAGCCAACATCACTTTCGCATGGTCTCCGTCAATTACTACGCATGTTACTACAATTAGGCGAATTTCGAAAACAAACCATAGGTGGATTACACACAGTTTTCGTATTAGAAAATAATACAGATTACCTAGATTAGCCTGTCCCACCATTTGCTCATAGTCAGATAGCTTAAATATGACGTCACTGTCAGATAAGGTAACAAAATCCTACATTTCCATCACATATTTTACACGTTGGATTGTTATCAGACAATTAACAATTTGGTGGGACAGGCCCTTAACGTAATTTATTAAACAGACATATGTAGATACCAGAAATATTGAAATCTTTCAACTTATACGTATGGTCATTATTCAATTACGTTTTATCAAAGTGTTAGCATGTATGAATATTCTACGCTATCTACAACAAGCAGAGCGGTGTTCGATGATCATATTTTTGTTATATTTACGCTTAGATAATAAGTAGGAACTAAAAGTCACCGGATATTCTAATTCTTAATCTTTCTAGCTCGTGTATTTCGAGCATTTACAGTCACCTATTGAATGCACAATATAACATTGTCACGTAACATTTTATAAGCAAAAGTTTTATTTACATGAATGTTTTAAGATGGTTAGAGGATCCATTTATAAAATTACAATAATTTAGCTCGCTTTTACCCAAGGCGTGAATGATTACAGCATGTCTATGAAGTGATTGGCAGAGGACGGTAGACGATACTTACTGTCCATCCAATTCGTAAGAGTCGATACCTCGAGGGCTCGTGTACGATGTCTCTAGCCTACGGCAAGTTACATGGCACGGACCATCTTCAGTAAAAGTGATTTAATTAGGTATTTTTTTACAACATGTTAATAGCACAATGTAAGGATGATTGGCGGGAAAAATATTGATATGCAGTAACATATTGTTTGCTTTTCCATACGAACATTCTTTGCAATTTTACGTATATTATCGAAATTCGAAAAGTCCTTTATGTATAGTTCTTTGTTCTTGAAAAAGTAACAAACGTCTTGTATAGATTAAAACTTGTTAAAGTTAAATTTAAACGTCTAAAGTCTAAATATCGCGAGTGCAATCTAGTATCGTTAAAATAACTTAAGCATTTGAATTGCATCTGTCGTCTAGAATTGGAATCGATCCTGATTGGGAAGTAGACGACTCAAGTTTTTAGGTGTCCATTATTCATTATGCTAATACAATGTAGATCGTCTTTACAGAAACGGATACTAGTAATTATTTTACATACAAATCTTAGGAACTCCTCAGCACACGCCTGATAAAGTAAGTATAGTAAAGATCTCTTTAGAAACACCATAATTGTATATAAAATATTATTCTACGGGTTTATTTTTATTTATTCACGTTTCTAAATGGGTTTATCAAAAGATCTTTTAGAATTCCTACAATTTTTTGACAGTTCTTTCTAACATATCGCTAGTTAATTCTAGTCTTGTTTAATATTCTAGCTAACGGTTGAATTGTTACTCTTAGTGCGATTTGCAACAAATGGTACCAAAACCGGAAGTGAAAATTTCTATTTGTTATTCAATTCCTCAAGAATTAACACACCATAATCAAGGTTCACGCTCGCTCGTTCGAAACAATGGCGAAACGCCCGGCCGACCCTCCACAGAGCTAATCTATCACTCGCTGCACAAATAAATTCACGTTTATGTAATAACAAAATTTTACAAATAATCCTTCTCACGAATATTCTTACATTAATAAAGCCTTATAATTTTATTACAAATTTTCTTGTATGACATAAACAACTTAACCGATGAACGTTACGGTGTAATGTAATATGTTACACGGTGAAGCATGCAGTCAATATGTTACAGTGAAACCGGCGAACAATACGTCGCTCAATAAGAATTTATAACTAACATCGGTCAATAAGTAACTTTACTTTTAACGATATTTTTAATATTTCGTTGTTTATTTATTACAACATTCAGAATTGATATATTGATTTGAATCAGAAAGTAATTTAGCCGTGGGCAATGAAAAATTGGAACTTCAATATGATGTCACAATAAGCCATAAGCGATTACGCGAATACAATCTATATAAACGTTGCATGGATTTACTCTCGTGAAGAGCAAACCAGTTTATTTGGAATGTCGAATGATTGTAGAAAAATGAAACTTATGTATATAGGATGTTCGGTTATTAATTTATATTACCAATATAATCTTAATTAAACAACCAGTTTAAAATGTAAAGTGGGTGGTACTTATTGTAGGTGGTAATAAAATTGTTTTACGAAAACATAACAAATAATTAAAGTGAAACGTTTCCCAAAGTAAAGATTGACTTTGATTACACGTTGAAATGATCACGAAAATACATTTAAATATTTATATTTCTTCCTGATAAAATAATCAGCCTGTATAGTGATCGCATTTATGTAAAGATGCGTATGATTGCTCTTCTCAAGAGTGATACGAATAAAAGTGGCAATTAGTTAAATACTCTCCTTTCACTGAAGCAATCTCAGCACATGCGTTGATGTGGTCAATTACATGTTATGCAATTATTGATGTCTTCACTACTTTATAAAAAATTAGACGGGATTTTTTAAGGAACTGTACTATTAGTAAACATTAAAATAAAAACAGACAGGCGCAAGTGGCTTTTGATTTTATTCATCCAATTTTAATATTTTTTTTATATTATTACCAAAAGTCATAGTAACTGCAAACCTAATGAAATGTTTAATTTCAAATACAAAAAGATAATTTTAATAAGAATGCAATCTGTTCACGTGATCCATGTCTAGACAGTGTCGTAACTTGTGTTATGCTAAACACCACTTCATATATTATTTTATTACTGTCATAACGCCCACTATAAAACATAGATATGCTACAAATCAAGTTTTAGTAATACGTAATTATTGCACTTTTTCCTGTAAAGAATGATGCGAACATTTATTTCGAAATAAAACAAGCTACTTTGATTAATCTTAGATAAACAATAATCAGGGCCTGTTCCACCACTGACTGACAGAAGTTCAGGTAGCTTAAAAATGACGTCACTGTCAGATATTAAGATCACATATGGATTGTTATCAGTCAATTTACAATTTGGTGGCACAGGCCCTTAATGTTTTAATTCGGTTACTTAGAATCATATAAAATAACAGTTATGTCGCTTATATTACACAGTATAGTTTTTTTTTATTTAAATACTAAGGACTAAAATTATTTCTAAAGTTTATCACTTTTGATATCATTAAAGCTTGGTTGAATAAAATACCCAATTTAAATGGTAACATTGCTATTATTTATTGAAATAAAAATACAAACAAATAGAAATAAGAACCTCCTCCTTTTTGAAGTCGTTTAAAAGTAAATAACATGTAACGCTTATATGACTATATCGGTAACAATTAGTATAATTATAAATATTAACATTAACAACAAAAGCATAAGGCTTAGTAACGTATCAATTTATCGTTATGTCAATTTAGTATACGTTTGACTACGACCTGATGTGTATGCATTTTTGTAACCAGATATGGAATTTTCGCTATGTTGTGCAGCAATGTCATTACTTTCTTTAGAGTTACTTTGTGACACGGGTCCTTGTAACTTGTCATATTCATTCGTAGTACTCGTTGGGGAATTTTGATTGTATTTAGTTTGGGAATTCGTTGGATAATAAATGTTTTGACCTGGACTAGAATAAAGAAGGTTGTTATAAAACGGATGATTTAATTGCGGAAGAAGAATTGTAGGCGCTTGGGATAGATATGGCGAGCCTAAAGATAATTGATAATTGGGGAAATTGAAATGTCCGTGAGGGAAAACTGAACTCACTAATTGATTGTTGTGTGGATTAACTTGGTTCGCAGGTTGTGGATAAACTGCTGGCTGGGATGCGTGTAAATTCTGCGGGGAATACCCTGAAGATGGTTGGACAAGAGCTAATTGAATACCGTTAGCTGATTTAGTTGGTACAATTTGATATTTGGCTTGATAACCTGGATTTGGAATGAAGTTTAAAGGGACAAATTGCGATGTTCCTTGATGTGGTGGATTTGCTTGAGGTGAGTTTGAATGAGTCCCTTCGTTTGAAGAAACGGGAGAATAATATTGGCTATTGGCCTGATTTGGATAGAAAGAGTTAGGGACTTGAGCTTGGTAACTTTGACTTGTACTGCTTTGTATATTCGGGTTTTGGGTATAAATGGCATAAGTATAATCGGGCTTCTGTATTCCAGTGGGGATGGTGTTCACTCCCGTCGTCTTCCCAGCGCCTCGCTTCTTATGTTCAATGTCGTCAGTTTCAATACTACAGACTAGTGTAGCAAAAGCAACGACGATCTGTAAAATGTTTTAATCGATTAGTAGAAATAGCTATAATAACAATAATTTAGTAATAAAGTAGAAAAATATGCCTCGAATTGTAGTAAAGAAGGAAATATATCTCCAAATCTTTTGTATATCTATGCATTACGATAGTTTGTTTTAAGTTAAGCATTAAGTATAAAACGTACTTACCAATAGTTGTCTCAAAGCCATTGTTGATTGTACAAATACTACTTAAGTACTGAACTACAGTAACATAATTTTACTACCGGAAAAATCGCGTAAGAAAAGTTGTCAACTCAATGGCGCAAAGAAAAGTGTTCAGAATTATCAAGTTCACGCATTTATATGAACGTTGGCGGACAACTTTCCTCTCATACTTAGTCCAGAGTGCGACCAATAAAGGAAACTTTGACTATTAAAAGGAAGGACCTGACAAGCGCGCACACCCTCCTCTGTAAATAAAAACAAACGATAGGTTATACTCGCTTTCTTTTGTGTTTTTTTCGTGTGTATAGATTTGGAATAATTATGCGTTTGTAATAATGACGTTATAATATGAATTTGTTGCTTGTCAACTTCATTTCACCCCCTGCGAAATGTGACCAAACTTAGTACAAAGACGGATCTATGCCTAGTCCATTTCTCTATAGTCAAGGAAAGGAAATGAACGATAGGTCTTTGTCCTGTATCGTAACAGATCCAGTTCGAGAGAGCCGACTTCCCGGTCGGTTGCGGAAACGCATTGCGTTCATCGATTGCCCCGTGTCCGTTTCCGAGACTTCGTGTGAGAATCGAATTTCACGGCAAAGATATCACAAAAACATCGTTTTCTTTTAGAAAATCACAAAAGTTACTTAAACACAAAATTTGATATATATATTTAAATTGTCAGACAAACGTCTTATCTAAGGATTAGAACAAGAAGTCTTTGAATTTGTTTAAAATTTCAAGGTTTTTATTAGTTGGGCATAGACACTAGTCGATGTGGAATATAAATTCGCACATTTCTCACCAATAGTTCCTATTATACTAGTAAACAAAGATAGCTACCAGTTATTTCTTTGACATTTAGAAGGAAAACCGTTTTAACTGACTAATACAAGGTACAAATAAATAGACATCGCTCTAATTCCATTTATAAGTTTACTAAGAATCCTTATTCAAAAACCTAAATAGTTTCCAAGGCTTAAATGTACCATATAAAGGCTTGCTTAGTAAAGGATAATGATGTAAAAAATAGATGTTTGTGAAGCAACACCCATATACGTGTGTTGGGCGTGTTAAGCATTCGTAAAATAATTTAAGTCTTGTTAAGTAATATCATGTTTACAACTTATAATCAACTAGCTGTTCCCGAGCGGCTGCGTCCGCATGAAATTAGGAAAAATGATCAAGAGCAAATGTCAAAATGAAATGACATTACAAACCTTGGAAATCTTGCTTTTTGATGTTGGCAGCAACTTATGGTCTCTTTCCCACATTAGAGTTTTTATCCAAAATATATACCCTCTAAGTTAAATGTAGGGCTTTTTGATAAAAAAAAGAATTATTAAAAAATATGTTGTAATTGCTGACATTTTAGGCAACAAAAAAGTATGTGTTTACGGTTTATTATAATAGTATAGATAGATAAGGAGAATGGTTAATCATTACCTAAAGTTCATGTTTTAAATGTTCTTCTACGCCAGTTTTGCAAGTATTATGAATTTTAACATGTAATTTAAACTAGATAAAATATTAGTAGTCGTTATTTAGGAGAAAATAATTATATAATGCAAGATGCAATTTTTTTATGTTACGAACCTGCATTTAGCAATATGTTGTCCACAATCTTTCGCATATTACACGTATTCAAATGCCATTAAACATATTAAATGTTAAAAAATACTTATATACTATATACGATTTTAAATAGTCAATGGTATATCTGTAGCTGTAATTAATTTATTAGATTATATTTTACAACGAATTTAACTTATTTTGCACTGCACCATATATTCCTAATTACAACACGATTGCCTGTAGTTCAATAAAATCTGAATTACACATTGTCTTGTTTCTTCAATTCGATTATCACATTGTAATAAAGCAAACTCAGTACAACCAAAGTCAATCGTATATTAGGGATGAGTATACATGATTTTTAAAACTTTATATTTAGCAACATAAACATAAAAAAGAAATTACTACCGGTTAAATCTGATACCAATTAAGAATAATATATCACTTAAAACTAACTTATGAATTACTAGAAAATATTCTCACGAACTAAAAATTGTAGACGCTAACATGAGTGATGTTTTAAATTTAACAATCTGATATGACGGATGAATGATGTATCTGCTTTAAGAAGCCAGTTACGATGATCGGGAGTACTTGTGTTATTTGATGTTACGTATAAAAGCAGATTAGTTAGATAAGAAAGTCATCCTGCAAATGTTTGGTAAATTACCATACTTATCAATCATATTGATGTAGCTACTGATTATGAAAGCTACTGTTTTAAATTTCAGTATTACAAATATGTAATTTACTTTTAATAATTCACTAAAGTTCATTTAGTACAAAAACTTTGTATTTTGATTTTTGGAGTCACTTGAGAACCCAAAACGCTAATTTAGAAACTGTTTACACTAACTTAATTAGTGAACATATCGTGAGAATGTTGTCTTGTAAGAATTTTGTTAGCACATTTGGTAGAAGTAATAATGAAACCTTATGTTATATAGAACAATGTGCTAATAAAGGTAAAAGTATCGAATAAAGACGTATTATGTGAACAGGTATTGTTTAACTGACAACTGACTATACTATGGAACGTCTCATCTAATTTGTGTATAAATATTTCCCTTGACTTTCATTAAATTACGAAAATATTTGAGTTTCTAATAAATATTGTAGCATCATAGAAAAGACATCAACGCGTTAGACTTGTACGATTTTTGTCATTTCATCATATTCCTACTTTTCATACTAATATTATAAATGCGAAAGTTTAGAGGGATGTTGTTAGAGTTTGTAGCCTAAACGGCTAAACAGATTTTGATGAAATTTGGTATATATCCAGAGGATAGTCTGGAAAAACACATAGGCTTGGCACCGCGCAAACTGAGTCCCGGGCGAAAGTTAGTCTTTTATATTTATTTAAGCGCCATCTATTAAATGGATTGAACAACTCAAAATTGTAAAGTTGGATGTTTGGTATATATCTGTTGGAAAAACACTGGTAGATGGCGTAAATCAGTAGTCGTTATTAATTTAAAAACCCAGTATCCTATAAGATTCTTATGACTAGTCGAATGAAACATCACCTTTAAGTCGTTTTATCTTTTACGATGCAGGTGGTCACTATATGTTGATATACATATGTATGAAGTAGAATCAAAATCAAAAGAAAGATAAAATAATATTTTGGTATAAAATGTAATGTCAAGGATTTTATTTTAATTTAATATTTATGCATCTGGATAAATTTATAGAAAGGTTAAAATAGTTAAAAATTATCCAAGACTAACTTAGGTGTTAGGTTTATCATAAACACAAGGAAACTTTCATTCCAATTAAATATTGAATTAATGTCGTGAGGTCGCTGCAAGGAAGTGCGCGTCACTTGTACAACTGGATTTCTTTGCTGGCAATCGATTTCTAAGTCTAGATATACAGAGCCTACTATAATTCTGTCAGTTGTATAGTGGATATAAATTTTCGCAAGAATTTCTCGCAGCAGTGAAATGAACTCATTCTCATAGTTTTAAAGTTATTGCCTTTTTATACTAATTAAAGAACGATGCATAAGAACTTAAAAGAACTAATTACTCATTCATTAAAGATAAATATATTTTTTGTTTTGTATCGAAATAATTTAAATCAGTTATTTATGTAACATTTATTTATTTCTTTATTATTAAACTAGCAGTTCCCGTGCGACTTCACCCGCATAAAATTATCAATTTAAAATGTCAAACTGACATGACATGACAAACCTTGGCAATCTTGTTTCCTTAATGTTGGCAGCAACTTATGGTCTCTATCCCACATTAGGGATTTTATCCAAAATATTTACCCCCTAAGTTTATTGGCGTAAAAATATATAGCCTAAACCGTGACGTAAGTGTAGGGCCTTTTATTAAAAAAAGAATTATTCAAAAATATGCTGTAATTACTGACATCTTAGCCAACAAAGAAGTGTGTGTTTACGCTTTATTATAATAGTATAGATAGGAAGGGTACACCATTTACATGTTCAAGGAACAAAAGCAAAATTAAATATGTTACAGATAATAATACTGCATACTAATATTATAAATGTCAAAATTTAAATGAATGGATGGATGTTTGTTAGAGTCTGTAGCCTAAACGGCTGAACGTGTTTCTTGCTACTCTCTTTTGTTTCTTTTTTTTTTAATTCCACACGGACGGAGTCCCGGGCGAAAGCTAGTAAAATATAAAAGAAGAAGAATATACTGATGACAGGGACTCATAAAATTATTAAGTATGTTGTGTATAAATCAATCATTATTCAAATTATCTCATTTTAATGATAAGAAACACATCGGTGACCGGTAGAAGAACAGGAAACGGTTACATAATCTCACCAGAGAATTCGGAAGTGAACGCAGTTGACTCCCATTCGGTCTACTTAATCTGTCAACCGTGGAGACTACTTTTTTGTTTACATCAAGCTGTTGTGTAACGCTAATCATCTACAGCCTGAAATAATGACATTAATATATTATAGTGTTGTATTTTTTTAAAGAAAAAATAACTTCCTACACTTTCCTTTGTGTGAAATCAAAGATAAAGTCACGTGTTTATTACTTAAGTTTCTGTATCACGTTTCCTCTGTTTGCGGCAACTTTCTTAGATTGCGTAGTGAGGCGTTTGAAAGTGACTCGATACTTCGTATTCCCTTCATACAGGAAATGACCAGAAGTGTTTAAGCTTAAAATAAAAAGGATTTTCAATAATTGTTTAAAACATTTATTTATAACAAAAAACTTAAAGATAATAACAATAATAAATAAGCTATCTTACTTATAACGGTATATGTACAGAAATTCACTGCGTATTCAATGTCAACATCGATTTTAACGGTACAAATGAATTGGTAATCAGTGCAATGTAAAAGCATAATTTATAATTAACGGACTGGGCCACTTATACGTCTAAGAATTCATTCATACCAAAAATAGTTTACAATTTTTTTAACATTAACAACTCCAAGCATTTATCTGTACGGATGCATATAAATAAGTCTAAAGAAAATAACGCTTTCGCTATTTCAATCTTTCCGTCTAGACCGTGGCCCGCAGACTCTCTCGCACATCTAGTTAGCCTATATTTACAGAAAATGCACACTATGTGATTAGCTTTTACGAAACCACTTAATACTTTTCAGAAATTAGTGAATACGAGGCTTAAGTTCTTCGCTGTATTTGATCGTGTTGTAGGAGGTTTCACTGTAAGCTCCATGGCTATCTTTGGGTGGTCCATAGCGAGAGCTCGAGCCACCGAAACTGTATTTGGGTCCAGATGAATAGGAGTTCAGTGCACTGTGTCCGGAAGTTGCCCCACGGTATGAAGGACCACTGCCAAAACTGCCGCTGGGTAAAGAATGCTTCGATGACGTCACGTAGTATTGGGGACTGTTAGATGATGTAGCTTGATGAGAGAAAGAACCAGATGGAATACCGTATGTGGTAGCAGGAGGCGACTCCAAATGTCCACCTGAAGAAAAGGCAGCAATCGATTCCAAAGAACCAAATCCTTCAGACTTGGATGGCAAATATGTAGGTGCGATGAATTTCGACGAGCTTCCGCCAAGATTGCCCAAAGATCCACTGAAGCTAGCGCCATGACCTCCGGAACCGAGGACGAAAGCACCGTGCGAGCCCGAGCCTCCGTGTGAGCCGCCGAATGAAGGTGCACCGTATGATCCAGAAAGGCTTGATAGAGCATGTCCTGAGTCACCCTGAACTGAAGAACCTAAGAATGCGGAAGGTTTGAATGCTTTTCCGGGAGCACCGTATCCGGCTCCTAAGCTAGCATATTGTCCACCTAACACCTGTCCATGATTACCTAATGAATATCCAGACAGTGAATGACCAGCATTGCTGAGAGAAAGCGATCCTGAATCACCAAGGGAATGACCTGCGCTGGGAGCCCCGTATGTTAAAGCAGCTTGGTTGCCATGAGAATCAGCTGGACTGAACAATACTGGACCGGTTGAACTGTAAGAACTGAGGCCCTTAGTGCCAGCGGCATACGACGGCACAGCTTGGGATTGGTCAAGCACAGCAAATTGTTGTTGCGATTTTGGAGATCCAAATGAGTACTGAGGTAACGAGAGTTCCTGACCCCCGTGCGCGCCTAAACTACCCAACTGATAACCTCCTCCTTGTCCACCTTGTTGTAATGTAATCGCTCCTGAATTAAGACCGTGAGAAATTTGGCTCATCAACTGAGACAGATCATTGCCAACTAAAGATCCATGGCTTGATTGGAGGGTAATAGGTGCAAGTTGGATAGGACCGTGACCACTTGATGGTTGGCTTTCCGCCGACAACTGGTATCCTGATCCAGCTCCATGTGCGCCGAAGCTGTAGCTAGGTTTGGCCCCACCAATGCTATAACCAGCTCCAACGCTGATGGCGCTCGCTTCCTCGCTTCCTTGACCGAAAGAGGGCGCTTGATAGCTGTGCGAAGAATGTCCGGCTCCCGGATAACCTGTCAAAGTTTCTCTTTTATCCTTCGGTTCTTCTACTTTTGTCTTTATAGCAAACGATGTTGACACACATAGCAGTGTGATGAATACAACCTGGAACAATAAAAACAAACTAATAAATAAATTATACTTAATTGAGAATTAAACCAATATCACTATAGGAAATAACGTTTAATCTTGGAACAAATTTTCTTTAACTTCCGTTAGTGCAAATCTACCATCGCACAGAGAGCTTAAAACCAGTTTCACACCATAATAAAAATGCGGGCCCGCATGACGCCGTTAAAGATTCAGGCCTGCATTATAAGTTTAATTTCACTTTTACCGCTTTTACTTTAAGTAGAAATAAATCGGCTTTTCTTGACGAGTTATTTATATCTAAATAAATATTGTATAACTAATTTCTAATAAGAGAAATTGTCAATGAAATCTAAAATCGAAGTTATAGCAAAAACAATTTTATCACTTTATAAAATTGATTTATTTTTTACTATCCTAATTATAATCACCACAATGCTTCTTTAATTTTTGTTTATTTATCTACTGTTATCATCACAGAATACACACTCACCGTGAATTTCATTTTGATACGTTTAATTTAGAACGACAGTCACGTTTAAGAAACTAAGTCACTAAACTAATGTTTTTTTCACTTCACAAATGTATCTATTTAAGACACTGATCGAACGGCTGGTCGGTACAGCCGCCGAATTTGTAATGTGATGTCGCTTGTGTTTTCACCGAATTTATAAGACAGCGAACGGCGCGGAGGAACGCTTGAGACTCGGGCGCTTCGGGAGGGTAAAAGTGTATCGGAGGACCCTTTCACTGAACCGGCTGAAAAAATGGGAGCAAGCTATCGGGCTTCCGAGCCCAAGAATGAGGTAACGCAAGGCCGGAAGCGTTGCGTCACAATTCGATCACGGTTTAGTGCGCTTATCAACTCGGATGTCAACCGGACGCTTTGACGAACATCTTGTGTTTGTAGATCAAGTATTTTGCATACAATCTAACTAGTTATCATTGTATGAAATTGTTTATTGTACTATGTTATATTATTGACAATTTAAGTTAGTTATTGACCTACTTTTTTAATGTAAGTGTAAACTACTATAAAGGCATTTACCATAAGCTAATTAACATGCTCAAAACTTTGTTATGTGCTTTTATAATTTTTATTAGGTTGAAATTGAGTAATTGAAACTGCTATTTGAATTTTAAAGTTCAAGACGTTTGTATTTTTTCTTTGTAAACTGTCTAAAAAATCCCAATAACAAATCAACGAGTGAACGCTTGTTGAATTGTTAAATTGTAAATGCACTTTCATTGTATTGATGTGACATCATGACGCGCGCCCTGCAATGTAAAGTAGCCTTTTAAAGGTTTACTGCTCACCAGAAAGACATCTTGTTGACTGTTTGTAACACAATCAAAAATGAATTTGTAAGGAAAACTCTTCCTAAAACAATAACGTGTGCAGTAGTCACGTATTTGTTTAGCCCTTTAAAACAGCATCATCATCATGTATCTAGGGCAAATCATTCAATTTACAACCAATTTAAAACCATACGTGATATGTATTGACAAATAAACAATTCAAAATATAGTGCAATGACCAAATGTCTAGAACATAAAATTTTGTTCGTAGATCGCGTCTATATTTCAAATTATCATTTTCTTTTAGCTGTTCGAATTTCAAATATTGTAACAAAACGTTTGTACATTTTAACGGTTTTACTATTTTGGTATCCAATTCTTAATTCAAATTAACCGTAATCATGCACATACTGTGAAAGTTTCTATATTTTGTGTTTTTTTCTTCCACAATCTAATGTAGGCGCTATTATTCGGCCATCGCTATCGAGTAATTTATTATTACATAAGTTCATTGTCTTCATACTGCCTGCTTTAATAACAATAACCTATTTAGATGTTATAATAACAGTTCTTTGTTCACGTTTAACCTTAATGGCCTATATTATGGTTTTTTTACGTCATTTTTGTTGCATCGTCTAATATTGATACTAATTTCAGCTGCTTTTCCAATGTTTATATAAAAATCTCGTATCACGTTGTATGGGTATGTCAGATATAAATTTAGTAGTTAATAAACCTTTTTTCATCATTATCTGTAGTAATGTTATAAAAAGGGAAAGATTTATATTTTTGTATACATTGAAAAAACTGCAAAACTATTTATTTATTTATTTATTTATTTACACTTTGTACACAAGGAAAACAATCACAAAAAAAAGATACATATTGAGCGTTGGTAGTACAGGCGAGCATAACTCTAATAGAGTTTTCTTACTGCTAACCGTTTCGATACAAATTAGATGTTTAGCAGGTAATGAATGTTGATGTACAAAGTAAAATAAACACTTAAATAATAAGATTAACAAAAGCATACACTATATTAAATTATATTAGCTACTAAAAAGCTATAAAACTACTGGACCGATTGAAAAAAAATCTTTCAACACTGAAAAGCTACGGCATCAATGAGTAATATAGGCTATGTTTTTTATTATTTTTTAATATCACGGGGATGAAGTCGCGAGCAACAGCTAGTATCTATATATTTTTCCATTATACATTTTTTTTAATTTTTGGATTACGTAAAAGATAATATTTCTTTACATTTGTAATTAGCGCAGTAGTGTTAATCGGTTCAAATCGGTAGAATTAAAACTTTTCACCACCAACTGCATGATCGACTGATAATTATCAGAATAAAGAAAAATGAATAAACGACAGAATTACGTAGCTTTAAAGGGTCGTTTTCACTAATAGTTATCTATAAAATTAAAAACAGAAATTATATTACATGTTATCAAATAGTCTGAAACAAGAAGCCACGCACTAATTTGCATTGATTAATTAAGCATGTTTTTGTACTTGATTACAAATCCAGATATGCTGTAACTTTTTACGTACGCGTAATAAGTTACTACTATTCAATTAATAAATAGTCGGTTAAAAAGAAAAATAGCAGTATTGAAATTGTACATTTTTTACAAGACAAGCATTGAAAGTTTGTAAATTATTTTAATTTTTTTTTCTTTAAAGCTTTTCAAATGATGAAATGTTAAGGATTGTCTTCGTCAACTTCGACTAAATCAATGCATGTGACAAATGAGCTATACTGTGAACTTCTGGAGCAACTCTACCTACTGCCGAAAATTAAATGAGGATAAGACATACAAAAAAGAGATATTTCCCTTTTTTGTACATCCCCTCCTTCGCCAAATTTCCCTGCCCTCTTCTTTCCTAATTAGTTAATAGCATTATTACATCGCTCGTGTTTAATTGCACCACGAACAGTTATCTTCTTAAATCTTTGCTGCAGGCTTTTTATTCCTTTTGTGGTTAATACGTTTTTGGCGGTGAACGTAAAAGTGTTTCGTAACTTAATGTTGCTTTTCATAGAATAGTTGTTGTGGTTATCTCATTTTTAGGGGAATATTTTTGACGACTATTGAATAAATAACAGTAATGGTGTGCTCTTCTTTTAGATTTCTAGAAAACGTTTTGCTAGATTCATTATAACTAATAAAAATAGACAAAAACACACTAAATATACCGAATCAGTCATTTGGAACTATTAATATGAGTAAAACAAATTATCGCGCGGTTCAGTTCAATCGTCCGAGAAATTATTACGTCCGAATCACTTTCCGCTTCACCGTACGGTCAAACAATTTATCAATTAACGAACAAAACCAAACAAAACATCGTTCACCGAACGGAAAGTAGAGCGTCAGAGCGTCCTACCTGATTCTCTCCGTATACTGTTACATAAAATGTAACCCTACTACGGTGAAAAGTTATAGGATGTCCGGCCTTATTTGCAATTTTATGGGCTTTTTAAATTGCTCACATAAATCTTAGAGTGAATCACACCCATCAGAGAAAGTAGATAATGCTTAGCAAATACACTAAAATCGTTGATTCATCAAAAATCGATGTTAAATCAAGCAATATTTTACCGACTAGGAGTTGTGTTAATGTGCTTTATCGTAATAATTATGAAATTTTCCTACAAATCTTAATAGCGTATGAAAGTTTGTTACAAATCTTAATTCGTTTGTTGTTTATATTTTTAGGAAGTTACATCTTACTTCTTACTGATATAAATGCGAAATAGGTTTTTGTTAGAAGGTATCTCCGAAAAGGCTAAACGGATCTCGATGAAATTTGCCAAAGATATAGGACATAGTCTAAAAGAACACAGCTACAAAATTATTTAGATTCCGCTAGGATGTAGTCGCGAGCAAACGCTAGTTAAGTATATTATCTACTTTCATATACCGCACAAGAAATACAACTGTGATTATGTGTTACGACGATCATGATTTATGTGTAACTTTAGTTATGAATGTGATCTATGTCGCAATAGTTTGTTGTCATTACAAACGATAAAAATCTTAACAACTCTATGCAACATTAACACCTATGATAAGACAATTACGATACGAGAAAAGGTTTTATTGATGTCTTCCATGTATAAGATGACAGTTCATTTGCAGAAAGTTGTAAATCGGTGGTAACGATGTTCTTTTGTTTTTAAATTGTGTATTAAAAAAGAATACTAAGTAAATAAAGAAGTAGAGTATAGTTGTAGTTGTACCTTTACTTCTCCTTCTGTAAGTATCCTATGAACTTAATAATATCTCAAGAAGAAATAACCAGAAGACTACCCCACTGTGCATTTTAAAATAGAATTATGAAACAAAACTTTCCACACGTTTGCTTTTATCAACAAGTGCCAAAAACAACGAAATAACACCTTTAAGTTCCACGTGACTTGTTTATTTATATTAAATAAATGTTATTTTATATTCATAACCACAATTCGTTTAAGTTTTTATTGTTATTTTTCGTAATACACTAAAACTTAAAATTTAGTTCCGACCTATGTGTTTTTAATTTTTCCCATAAACATAAGAAAAACATTAGAAACTAATAGCGGAGTATGACCACAAAATTCTTTAAAAGTGACTGGCAATTATTAGATAGTATGATATTATAAAGTGAATTAAAAAAGGAATTAGTTAAGTAACACAAACTTAGCCATAACTTATAAATATGCGTTAGATAAGAGGATAGACGGAACATAAGCGACATAATTGTTAGTATATTAAATCCTTATAAGGACGCAGACCTCTAGTATCCCGTTTAATATTTCTTTTTATGAATTTGTTTGTTTTATTTTTGA